AATGGCAAAGATTTCGGCTTTCTTAAAGCAACAAACGCAAGAGAAGTTTCTTGCTGTTTGGGATAAATGGATAAAATTTATACAATTTAGATTGGGTATACAAAAATATTATATAGTTTTTTCATAAGTTTTATTTTTATATATATTATAGATAATCTTTTTATATATATAAATATAAAGTTCTTAATTTAATTTTTATTTTTACTTTTTAAGCCTATATTCTGCTCTGGGAAGCTCAGGGGGGGGGAAGGGAGGGGGGGGGTTTTGGGAGGGGTGGGGGTTTTTTTTTTTTATATATGTATTGTTTAGTTTTATTTTTTTGTATATGTTGTCTCTTGTTTTGTATTCTTTTTTCTTTTTTGTAAAATTTATAAAACTTTTAATAATAATAAAAAAAAAAAACCTTGTTGTTTTACTTCCTGGTGATCGCCTTTTCATTCATCGAAATGTATGTACCCAGGAATCATTATTCTTCGATTTTTAGCATTATTTTTAATATATATATTTGTTTTCTGAGGTTTTCGCGGGTGTTTGTGTGTAGCTCTTTGGTTATTCGGGTTTTCTCCCGCGTAAAATTGGAAGTGTCTTGGCGATGTTTCGACGAAGTCCCATTCGTCATCTTCAGGCTGGTGTTTTCAGCTTCGTGCTTCGAGGAGCAATGTGTGGTCTTAGCTGTTTCTTCCTTTTAACTGCCAGTGGAGGTATGAACTGATTGGGTGGGAGCTTGGCTGTGTTCTGATTGGATGGGGGGTTGGCTGTGCTCTGATTGGCTGGGGGAGTGTTCTGTTTGGGTGGGGACTTTGTTGTGCTCAGGTTAGTCTGAGTTGCAGGGGGATTTAAGATGGTGGGCTGCCTTGCTATTTTTTGGCTTCGCGTTCGTGGTCATGCCTCATCTTCATGGTGGGTGTCAGTTTGCTTCATGTATGGATTGGAGGGGTTTAAAGTGGCTAATGATGCAGCTGTGGTCTAGCTTCTGGTTTGTGGTCATGCCTCATCATCGGTGTGGCTTTGGGTTTGTTTTTTGCGTGGATGTGTGGTGGTGACATCCTGTGTGGTTTTAGTGAGTGTGGGTCTGGTGTCATTCTTTGTGTTAGGGAGTCGTTTGTCAATAAGAGCGGGTTTCCAAATGGCTGGTAGGCGGGAGGTATCATGTCGTTTGTTCATGCTGTGTGGGCGTTTTTCTATCTCGATGGCTTTTCTGATTATTCTGTTATTAAAATGTTCAGTTTTGGCGATAGTTCTGGTATTTTTAAAGTCAATTTCATGTCCTGTGGCTTTAAGGTGTTGGACCAGGGAAGATGTTGGTTCCTCTTTTTTGACTGAGTTCTTATGTTCTTCAATGCGTGCACTTATTCGCGGGAGAAAACCCGAATAACCAAAGACCTACATATAAACACCTGCGAAAACCTCAGAAAACATATATATATTTTTCTATTTATCCTTTATTATTTGTTTTTATAATTTGTTTTATATATATATAATAAAAACAAATAATAAAGGATAAATAGAAAAATATTTAATAAACCTAGCTTTCGTCGGGCACTCCCGACATCATCAGGGTTAAAAGCAGTCATTGGGAGAAAGCTTATATACGATCGCTAACTACCTGCATCCGGCTTCTAGATCGCGTCACCGGTCCCAGCTGATCGTGCTGTGTTCTAAGTGTATCTCTTACATCAGCATGTGGTCCTTTCCTATCCCCTCTCCGTACTCCGCTGCGCACACCTCCATCGTTAACTCTGGGGCTGAGTGGGGTCCTTTCACCTCCCTTTCGGGTGGTAGTTATTTCCATCCCCCCACCTTCTTGTGTGCAATTCTCTTTACTAGGAGGGGGGTGCGGGTCGTTCAATTTTCTCCTAGCCCCATTGCGTGTCCCAGCTAAGTTGTGACCGATCCTCCTCACCCTTAGCGATCGCAACTTAGGTGTCTCGCCCCATTCTATGTTATCCACCCTCTTATCTCCTTCTATGTGTGCTATCCCTGTTTGTTTGTCATCCGATCTGACATCTCTCTCCCTGCGTTCATGATGGCTATTCCTTTTTGCCGTCCTGGTGGCGACACTTTGCCGCTCAGTTCGCTGCTGGTCAATATCTTGTCCATTCCATTCAAATCCCTTGTCCTTATCCTCCACAAGAAGATTCTTGTCGCAATAGTAGGTGTTCACCGCTCATAGCTCCCTGTTCCCCTATCAAATCGACAGGTGGAGAATCCCTCCCTCTTTTCTGGTGCAATCAGGTTACTATCGTATATCCGCCAATAACCCGATTGTGCCAGAAAAGAAGGAGGGATTCTCCACCAGTCGATTTGATAGGGAAACATGTTTATGTTTTTCATCCCATAGGAATGCATGCCATCCTGCTTGCAAGTCATGTCCTTCTATTGTTAAAACTCTAGTATTTTTCAAATCCATCCAATCTTTTAGCCAAGTTAAGCTCGATGCCACTCTGGTAATGCCAACCCCCCTTTATCTTTCATATCTTGCAAGAGTTTTAATTTAATTCTTGGTTTTTTCCTTTGCCATATAAATTTAGTGACCAATTTATTTAATTCTTGAAAGAATATTTTCCCTAATTTTATTGGAATAACTTGGAACAGAAATAATATTTTTGGCAATACATTCATTTTGACTGTAGCGGTCCTCCCTAAAAATGAAATTTGCAAATTTTCCCAATTTTCTAAATCTTTTTTTATCTGGTGTAATATTTTATCATAATTGTCCTCCTTAATCGAGGAACATTTCGCTGTAAGCCAGATCCCTAAATATTTTATTTTCTTGGTTATACTTATCTTTGTTTTATCTTCCAATTCCCTTTCCTGTGCCTTTGTAAGATTTTTTGTTATTAATTTGGATTTATTCTTATTAATCTTAAGTCTGGCTACCTCACCAAATTCTTCTATTTTTTGAATCAATTTAAAGCCGGTTTCTAATGGATCTTCCAAAATAAATACCAAATCATCAGCAAAGGCCTGGACCTTATATTCTTCCTTTTTAATTTTTAAACCCTTTATTTCTTGGTCCTCTCTGATTTTTGTAAGGAGTATTTCTAATGATAAAATAAATAGAAGAGGGGAAAGTGGGCATCCTTGTCTTACTCCTTTGGTTATATCAATTTTTTCAGTTGACAGTAACTTTGAACAATCACTGAATGAACTGTTGTAAGTCAAAGACTACCTGTACTTCATGGTTCTTTAACTTGAAATCATTTAGTAGTCTTTTTATTTTGATTATTATATTAAGGTTTTTGATTTGTTTGTTGTGCTCAGTGCTTGCCCTGTATACTGCAATTTTTGAAAGCTGTCTTCCACATGGAATTTATTACTCATATTGCAAAACTGTACCTTTTGCATTTGATCACTATTACTGTTGATCCTAATTTCTTAAGCTTTTATCAACTTTTTTTTTTTTTTTTGGTGAGGCTGAAAGGGCTCATTTTGTTTCATCCTTTTGCCTCAAGGAGAGGAAATGTCAGATGATGGACTTTGTAATACTTGAAACATGTTGTTTTGTAATACTGTTGTACTGGCTAATTCACATGGGTTTCCCTGTATTTTAAATTTGCTTTTTCAATTGTATTGCTGACAATTTCCAATAAGCCTTAACCTTCAAGAAAATGCCTCTCAGAAACCAGGACTGGCAGGAAAACATTTAATAAATTGTAAATAACAGTTTTGTTCTGAGCTGTTCTCAAGCCTCCGTGAGCAAAGAAAATAGTCAAGCCAACCTTGAGAAATGCTGAGAATGTATTTTACCCAAACACATTTTAATGTTTTTCGTTTGCAAATTTTTTTTTACTTTTATTGTAAAAGTAAAAATACAATGCTCTTTTCTATGGCTATCTATACACACACATTATTGGATGCTGTAATTCTTGTGATGTAACTGGACAGATGACTATTTCCAAACCAATCAAATTTTGCTTTGAAGTTCTATGTTGTGCTAACTATAAAAGTAAATGTAATCCATTTCTTGGGGTTTCATAGGGTTACCGCACTTTATCAGAGTACTCTAATAAATTGCTTTTAAATGTTCTGACTTGGTTGTATTTTTCTGCCCTTTTAATATTTCCTTCTCTGGGGGGCTGACTTCCCACAGTTGTTTATTGGAAAAAGGTAAACCAAGGCAGAACCTAGGGCAAGATTTTGCCATCACTGGTGATGATTTTGTATTTTGGGCAGAAGGAAAGATTAAAATCTGCCCTGCTCTCAAACTGAGGCTGTGCAGTTCTTGGAAGAGAGGTTGGGAATGTTCCTTATGGATTGCCACCCTCACTTTAGGCCTTTGTCACTATTTGAAGTATTTACCTACACTTTAGCTAATTTTGTATACAAATATTCCTATGCTAATTTTATATGAAATGTTTTAACATTACACGTTTTGCCATATGCTTAAATATTAAAATCCAATTTTAGAACATTATCTCATGTAACTAAATCTTGTGACTAAAGTCATTTGAATATTCATTTAATAATGAATGAACAAATGAAATCTACATAGGTGTTTGTGCCTGAAGAGGTTCAGTGCCAAGGAGAAAAAAAATAACAAGTTTAACATTATTTCTTTTCCATGCCTCAATATATTTTCAGTACTAATAGCTTCTATGCATCAATGGATTTCAAAGAACAATTGGTGCTTCATGGCTTGGATCCTGATGTGTCCATTTAGGCAATTGCCTCAATGCGAGAATTTTACATCGGGCATAGATTTATGTACAGGTTCATTTCCCAATGGCCAATCTAATTGACAGCGGCAATTCAAAGTCATTTTTCCAACCGGGCATCTTGGAAATTACATGTGTGCCACGAGTTACTGCACCAGCAAAGATTCTTGTGTATGTGGGTTTATTGCACTATTATCAAACTGACAGGAATCTATGTCCCTGATTGGGTATGTCCGTTGAGAAGATCTAAGATCAAGAATCTGAAGGGGTGCTCCTCGGACTCGGGTTGAGGATTTTAAAACTCAGCAACCCTGCATACCGAGCTTGCCTTCGGTGCCCATAACTTTGACCAAATTCCACTCTCAACAATGGCCTGTGTGACTCTTAAGAGACGTGGAGGTGAAATGAAGCTTACATAACCTCAGTCCCAATGTGGGCCTCTGCTACATTCTTCCTCTCGTGCCGTGGCCCGCGAAGGAGCCCAGACAGGTATCACGCACGGAGCTCAGCCAGAAATCCGCTCCTGCGCAAAAAGTGGTTTTCCAATAACTCCTGGTCATAACGCGGCGCGCCCACGGGAGGAAAAGTAGCGAACCTCAAACAGACTCGCCGCCTCAAACTCCCCTCGTGACCCTCCCCGCCTCCTCTCCGCTCGCGCGACCTTCTAGCGGTCAGGCACTCCGCCCCTCCTAACCGCTCTGTCACTCTGTCTCGCGCAGCCAATCGCGCAGTCTTCTGCCACTTTTCCCCACCTCCTTGTCCTCCTGGGAGTGAGGGGAGAGGGCTGCGCGCTGAATACTAGAGGGTTGTGTGTATGTGAGGAGAATTGAACGGTTGAACTTTTTTCCGCGCCGAGTTTTTGCTGCGCTGAGACTTCGTCACCGCCTTCCTTTCCTTTGGCTACGTGAAACGGTGCATTTGTACGCGGTGCAGAGTGTTTAGTGTCGGGGTTGTTTTTTTCTCCCGCACCCGACTGCACACAAAGCCATGGGGTTTCAGGAGCCCGGCGTTCCTTTGACTCTCCTTCTTTGGATTACCGCTTCCTGGGGTTGCCTCCCCGGCTGCGCTGCCTGGGCTGGAGAAACGGCAGCGGCGGCTCTCCAGCAGGATGAGTTCTCCTCCGCCACCAGTATTTATGGAGCTAGATGCAGCTCCAGGTGTCTCAGCTTGCAGATTACGCGTATCTCCGCCTTTTTCAAGCATTTTCAGGTATGGGGGGGGGACACCCAAACCAATAACCGGGCCGCGCATTAATGAAACACGAGCGACTTCTCGTTTCCCCTCTTGGCCAGGTCTAGTCGGAAAGAAGTCCTTGGAATTCAATGGGATTTGTTCTCAGAGATACGCAGTCTGTGGACTGCAGCCTTAGGCAGTTTGGCTGATGTTCACAATTGGGTGCCACTGTTTCAGCGCTTAGGTGCATTTGTTAGTGCAGAAGACGAATTTTAGATGAATGGGCTGAAATACATTCGTTAGAAATTAGACCTATTCGGCACTATTCCCGAGGAGTCCTCAGGGAGGAAAACAGGTCGATCCCTACTGAACCACTGGTATTCTGCGCTTTACGCTGAACTTTGTAGCTTCTTAAGAAGCTCGCAGGCTTGCCTTTTTCCAGCGAAATTGGTCGAAGAAGCTTCTTAAAGCTGATCGTATCGGGCTGATCTCTTGACCCTAAGCGAGGATGAATGCTCCCATTCTGGGAGTCGCGCCATGGTTGACTTGGCTACTTTTTCAACCAGCGCTGATAGCGGAAATGGCGATTTTAATTAGTATAGAAGCAGTCGGTCGGTTTACCGAAGTGATTCAGTCATTTGTAACCACTAAAGCTTGGGCTGGGTATGTTTGCGGTTTGAAACATTTAATTTAAGCAGTTTTGTAATCTGGAGGTGGAAATTACTTACATGAAGCAATATACTATTTTTAAGTGACAAAGTTGAAGATGCGTAAAAGAACACGTATCTGTTTCTGAAGGCCACCCTGTATATACCCTTTTACTTAAGAGTAAAAATTTATTGGCTTGATTGGAATCTGCCTAAAGTAAACTTGCCTAGTTAAAGTAGATCTATAATAATCATTCATGTTCCCCAAATAAAGAGTGGAGTATATTTTCTTTTTGGAATTAATTATAATATGGTATGTCATGTAAATGGTCACGATTTTCAGTATTTAAGATTAAAAATATAATGGCATGATTTTGTATATGGACTTGATAGATATACATCAAAGCCCTGTTATCAATTCAGATAGCTTATTGCCTTATTCTCAGTTGATAAAGAAGTTGCTGGGAATCGGATAACAATAACTTTAGAAATAAAGTCCTTTTATTCTCCCTGTTCATCTGCTTAATTTTTGAACTTGTTTGCACACTTCCTGTGCACATGGGATTGTGAGACAGTTAATAGAGCTGTGATAAAAAGGCAGTAATTTTGTATCTGACCCAGAAACATTAAACATCCATTGACTTATTAGTAATGAAACTTTATGAATAGCTTTCTGCACTATTTTTAATAGATGTCAACTTAAGACATGCAGATTACTTGAATCTCAAAATTACTGTTAATTGGAGTGATTTTTATCTATTATCCCATTAAAGGGCTGTGTGTGTATATATCTTTGCACGTGTGTCTGTATATATTGAAAATGGAACAAGACAGCATAGCTATCTTAGTTTTCCTAACTTTTTGATTGTTGGTTTCAACAGATGTGGCTTTGTAAGAAGAATAGCAATAGATCAGTTTACTAACTACTAATTTGCTTGATCTTTCTCAGAGGAATCAGAAGTCAGAATGCCTTATTCCATTGACATAAATAAGTTATGAGCCATGGTGGTGCAGTAGTTAGAATGCAGTAGTTAGAATGCGCTTGCCAGCAGTTCGGCAGTTCAGTTCTTGCCTTCTATCTCAACCTTTCATTCTTCCTAGGTCGGTAAACTGAGGACCCAGATTGTTGGGCGCAATATGCTGACTCTGTAAACCACTTAGAGAGGGTTGTAAAGCACTATGAAGCAGTATACAGTATAAGTGCTATTGCTATTGCTATGATGTAAAGCTTGCACAAGTCTGTACAATATTGGGTTATTCATTCATAAAAAAGATTTTTTTAAAGGGTCCCTGGAAGCAAGAGGCTAATTTTTTTCCCTGCAAGTGACCCATTTAGTTCTGTGCCCAGACAATCATGTTGGGATAATTCTATTTCAGCATTCATGTATACATAATGTTTAGCGACATGTGAAGCATAAAAAGATGTAACTATTTTTCTTTGCATTTTTACAAAGAAAAATACAATTTTCTTAGTAAATCTCAGCTTAAGGATGATGATCAGTACTGGATTTCATTCTCAACATTTTGTTTTTGTTTGAAGTGTATCATTTTTTTCTCCATGCTTGTATATGCACTTATGATATTTCTACTATGTTTTGTAAAAAATTCAAAAGTAACTAAGTGGTGCAGTGCTTGTGTATTTCTGTGGATCACATTGAGCAAGTAAAAGAGGAAATTTAGGATTTTCTGGATGCTCCTAATTATATTTAAACTGTGTATCATATCTTCCCACCTCCAGCTTCACAAAATGGAATTGCAGTTGTTTATTATACATCATCTGTGTATCCTAAACATCTCAACTGAAATGCCCCACTAAATTCCATTGGGATGTTTTTCCAGCTTACCAAAATCTGCTATTAGAAAACCTCTGCACCAAAACCTTTCAGAAATATATTCAGTAATGTCACTGAATATTATATACTGTACGTATCTGTGAATCTGCTTCTGCTCGTGGGATTGCAATTGTTTACTGGAATTTCCTGGACTTCCTGGAAGTCTCTCATCTAGCAGGATGTACTGGAATCCAAGATAAGAATAAATGTTCCTTGTTTAAAAAGAGGGCTTAGCTATATGCATTCCAAACTTATGGCAATGTGTTCAGTTGATGATGTCAGCAGCTATTATACATATGTGGGCTTAAATGTTGGGGAAATTGGAATTCCTACAGTAATACTTTTAACCATAGTTGCATACTGGGATATATGTGACATGTCTCATAGCACAACACTACAGCTTTTCTTAATTATTTTTGGCTTCTAAATCATAATGATTGTTGTATAGCTCTCTTAAATTTGGTACATGTTGTTAATGGGGATAAAGAATATCAGGCAAGAATCTTCATTACTTGTTTTTCATTTTTTTATGGCAAATCAACTTTAATATATTTGCTAGAGCCCCAAATACCCCATAAATCTAACTTCAAATTTTTGTGTCAAACTTTAAAAGCCTGAGGTATGATTTCTGTTTTCTAGTTTAACAAGCTTCAGCACATCAAAGAAGTCCCACAATTTTCCCTTCAAATCTTTACACATTACACATAAAACAACTTCAATCACACCTCCATTAAAACTATTGCAAACCCCAATTTCACCTTTAATGATGTCACTGTGCTACAACCTACTTTCCCCATACTTGAAATAATTGTTCTGTCCACTTGGATTGCATCCTTTGTTTTTTTTAAAAAAAATATGTCTAGTATTTAAAATGATTAGTTACATTTCTAACTTAAGAGGCTTAGATTTTCTTTTTATTTTTAGAAAAAAGTAGGTTATGATGAGACATAGAAAGCCATCTTGGGTTTCACAAAATAATGATTAAAATAATATTGTAGAATACTTCCTAAAGAAATTTCAGTTGACTATTCAAACAACAATCTGACTTTTTGAGTTGGTAATAATTATGTGGGCATTCAGTTCTTAGTCTTGAAAAATCATACCTTGGTTGTGAAATGGTTTTCTCAGCGCTGAGAAACATATTTTTTTCTATAGACACAGGTGGTATTATTATAAAGATAATGATAAAGAAAATATATTTGGAAGCATTTTGTTTCATGAATGCATAATGCATAAGCATTAAGAGCCATCCTTCTTCTCTCTAAAGAGGACCAGGGCAGCCACTTTAGGCTTGGCTGGCTCAATGAACCCTCTCTCTAGGTTTTTTTTAATGAATCTTTCCATTTCCTTCTTCTCCTTTGGGCTCATGGAGTATAATCTGGGCTTCGGGAGTTTTGCCCCAGGCTTGAATTCAATGGCACAGTCTGTGGGTCAGTGGGGGGGAGGGGGAGCTCATTCGCCCTCTCCTCACTGAAAACTTCAGCAAGGTCTCTGTATTCCTCTGGTTTTTCTGTTAGTCCCTTTTCCTCTCCCATGGATACTTTTTCTATTCTTGATTTTGGTAGCCCCCCTTGGGATTTTAAGTCCATAGGGTCCCCCTTCGGGAATTTGATTTCTGTCGTCCTCTAATTTACCCAGGGGTTCCATTTTTTCAACCATTCTATCCCTAGGATCATTGGGCATTCCATGCCTGGGGTCGCTACAAACGTTATGTCCTCCTCATGTTTGCCCAGGGAGAGGTGTATTGGTAGAGTGGCTAGGGTAGCTGGCACCCCCCCTGCTATGGATCCATCTAACTGGCCAAATGAGATTGGTTGTTCCAGTCTTCTCGATGGAATGCCCAGATTCCCCACTAGTGGATTAGGTGGTTCCGCCCCAGGCGTTTAATGGACCCGGAGGGGTTCCAAATAGCGCTTGGGGGTTTTCCTGATTCCCTCCTCCACGAACCGGCTGAGTCCTTGGTCGCTGCTTGGAATAAGGTGGCATCAGGGGCATTAGACCGGATCGCGCCTTTGCGACCTCTCCGTGATTGTGGATCCCGGAGGGCACCTTGGTTTACCGAGGAACTATGGGAGATGAAGCGTCAGAAGAGACGTCTGGAGGGACGCTGGAGGGCTAGTAACTCCAAATCCGACCGGACACTGCTAAGAGCCTATATTAGGACTTATTTAGTGGCGATACGAGCGGCAAAATGTTCGCATTTTTCCGCACTTATTGCGTCTGCAGAATCTCGCCCCGCCGCCCTGTTTAGGGTGACCCGTTCCCTACTTAATGTTCAGGAAGCTGGGGAGCCCTTATAGGGTAGAGCGGAGGAATTTGTGCAATTCTTATCAGACAAAATTGCTCGGATTCGGACAGACCTAGACTCCGATTGGGCAGGGCCTTTCGAGATGACTGGGGCAGGTCTTAGCTCAGTTTTATGGGATGAATTTGAGTCTGTGACCACTGAGGATGTTGACAGAACGGTGGGAGCAATGAGGGCCTCCACTTGTCTATTGGACCCGTGTCCTTCCTGGTTGGTCTCGGCTGCCAAGGAGGTGACACGAAGCTGGCTCCA